CCTAGAACCATTTCTAGCTGGAATTTTTATCTCATATATTTAAGGGTTGACTGGTGACCTCATCAGTAAAGTTACGCTCCACTAAAGTTGTTTTTATGGTCTAATTGTATCATCTGACAAACATGAGGAGGCGATATGGTTGTTAGAAAGACTTAACAACGTACAAAAGAACATACGCCTAACGTTCTTCGTTCAGTTCAACAAAAAAGTCGATATTATACGACACCTACTTGTTTCCTGGGATTTTTTATCCAACTCAATGTAAAAAAGGTTTTTGTCTCTTCGGTTTTTAGTGAAACATAGGGTTTCAGTAGCACGTCGGCGTTTCACTCTTTAGGCTGCAGTCTTTTATTTCTTATCTGGCTCCACGACTGTCTATAATCGTTCATTTCTTCACCACACAATCTCCTCCGTGTCACACTCGGACGTCCCACTCGTCGTCTCCCATTTGACTTCCACTCGATGGGCTCACCGGGCCTGCGCGTGATGTCCCAAGACGATTTTCCCAGTCTATATCTAGTCCAGTCTAGTTCATCTCAACTCTCTTCTTCTACACATTTTTTGGACGATAGCCTCTTAGTTGAGTTATTCTCAGGTAAAGTTCCTCCTCACTTATTCTCTCTGGCCATCTATCTGATCTTCAGTATCGAGTGAGCGTAGGCAGTAGTTGTTGATGTATATCTGCAGTTTTTAGATAGCGTTTTCCTAACGCGCCAATATCTCTCAACCATCACATAGAAGTACTGACTTGACTGACTTAGTGTTGAAAAGCCAGATCTTTTTGCTTATGCTGAGTGCAGTAGATCGCCACACTGGTTTCAGGTGAATGATAGCCTGTCTTGTTATCTTTCCGATCCTGAATTTCACATCCTCATCTTAACCGCGTGTAGCTGAAACGGTGCTGTCAACTGTCAACTTTTTGGTTTTCACCTGTACATTTTCGAGTTTGTGCGACAAGACATCAGACATAAATCATCATCGGGGCGAAATCCAATCTTTTCATCCATCAAACAGCGTATGCCCATCTTCTCACAGTTGTTTTGCTGGATTATACAGTCGATCACAATCAGGAAGATCATCGACAATAGTAGGCGACAACCTTGTCTTACTCCTACCTTCACTTCACTTCAAATGCATCATTGAGCTTTCCATTGTCAATTACTTCGCATGTAGCATCCTCATATAGTATATAGCTTAGCTGTTGAATAAGGCTGATCAAGCTTTGTGGAAGTAAAATCGTATTGTTGAAGCAGTTGACAAATTACATCTCTGTAGACGTCTTGATCGAAGGCCTTTTCAAAAGAGTTGCCATTCTGACATTCTATACTCTCTTCTATGATGATGCGTAGCGTAGCGTTGTAATTTGATCCGCTCGTGATTTGTTCTTGAGGAAGCCAACCAACTAGCCAGTCTGTTTCGGTCATGATTCTAAATCTAGAGCGTCTCTCCAGGATGATACGGCTTAATATTATTCCTCGACAGTTCTTGCAAAGCCTTAGGTCGGCCTTCTTTGAGAGTTTGACAAGGTAAGCCTTCTTCTAATCGGCAGGTATCTTTTCTTACTTAAAAACCTTCTCCAATATAAGCGAGGTTTGTTAATCTGCTTATTCAAAAAAATCTCGCGTATCTCTGCTCATTGGATGATGATATCGAAATACTAACTGAGATTAGTAGAACAAAATGGGATATCCAGTGAAGTTTCTTAAAACTGTTGTGAAAGATCAATCAGCGTTGACATTGAATCTGTAATCTGTTCCCAAGAAAATACATATATATCGTGTGATTATAAAGGGAGGAATCTTACAGAGTAATAATAAAACTACCATTAGCAAAACATACTATGCAGCTGAGCCCAACGTAGTTGAGGAGACTGAACATACATATTGCTACATAGACCTCAATATTGTTGAAACGATTGCATTACATCACAGGACGTTCATCAATCTCCGTGTGTGTGGCCACACAAGCAAATACTAGAGGGTTTCGCGAAAATGCACCGAAATAGCTACAACATCAGATGGATTAGCAAACATCAAAAACTGCTAACCATTCCAAAATGTCACAGAAGTGACAAGGAGACCGTTTCGTCTACGAACTGTAAGGGGTCAGTATATAAGTCACTTGAAGCAATGTCATATAAGAATTTAAGCCTTTCCAACTTGTGTGTTCAAAAACATATGTCCTTACACTAAACCTACCATAGTAATAGTTGTTTAGGATTGTCCTGGTGCGAACTTGACAGACGCAAAGACCAATCACTAATTATTCGAACTTGTTATATACCCACGAATACGAGACCAAGGAAGAACACGATAGCGTAGTCCGATGGAATAGTATATTTGGATGGTTGTGCCAAAATATCGATGCGTTCCAACTAACTGGCTAGAGAGTCGAATACGAGCAATGCAACGTAACACGACAGCGTGCCAAATGGCGAGGATGCTTGACCGGGTGCCTTCAGCTTATCGAGTCCAGTTAAACTATCAAGGTCAGCATCAATGTCAAAAGTCGTCAAACCCTAGGCTATTGATTTTGGGGAAGTGTGTGACGCTACAGTTGTCTTATCCTGCAATACCAAAGTTACCTTGAAGTATTATGATTCTCCCTTTATTAACTTCTTATTTTCTGTTCCATCAACTCAAGTTATCATTTAATTGCTTTGATAGACAAGTGAAAGGGTGTCATGAAGATAAGAAAATTCACTTAAAAGAAATACAATGTACAAGAAGAAAGAAAGGAAGAATGTCAAAGTGGTGAGGTTCGTTACAGCATCGTTAAGATGAGGATAATGTGTGTGCGGGATACGTCTGCACCACTGACATCGATTCTGAGCCATACCATCACCTAGAGTCTCCAACCACTGTCCGTTCCTCTTGTCCCACAGACTCCAACCACCTAGTCGGCATCGCCTTCTTGCCTCAAACCAACAGTCAAACACTTCATACATTGGTGACATGTTTTAGTTTGGCCATCTCAGGTTTTTCTACCTGCCTGAACCAACTTCTGTCAATATTGTGTGACGAGGCAATTGGCGACTGGGCATAGGTGGTATGTGTCCCAACCATCTCAGTCGATGAAGGTTCATAACCTCGTCAACTGATTTACCTCTTCTCCTTCTCTAAAACTCTTTACCTGACTTCTGGATTACTCACGTGATGACAACATGGAATACGACGTAGCCTATACTACGAAGGCGATAGTGGTCGAACACCTGAAGCCTTCTTATGTCTTACACGTTGAATGGCTATGTTTCGCAGCCATATAGTAGAACAGATCGGATTGCTGTGCAGTACACGCGACGCTTAACAGATAAACGGATATCACTGTGGCGCCACAATGGGCATGCGTTTGAAAAAGCCAACCGAGCCTTTTGTATCCATGGAGAGATTTCATCGGCCACTCAGCCACTAGGGTTGATCCTGCTTCCAAGGTCAGTAGAGTGGTCGACACACTCAACCACTACACTGACTGTCTATTATTAGCCGTGACACCATTGCAGACAAATCTTGGAGCAGAAATTTGCATTTGTGTGGTGAGAACTGCATCTCAAACATTGTCAGATTCACACTCAAAGTGTCCACAAGACTCTGCATCTTGTCAGTGTCTTCACCTTACATGACTGACCACGTCATCTGCATATTCTACGTCTAACGAAAATTCTCCTGTGATTAAAAGTTTCACATAGGCCAAAAGTGACAAATGAACAAATGGTGAAGAATATTTATAGCCCGGGTGGATGGTCTTGGTTGTATTGTGTGTTCCCTGAGCAGGTGGGATGTTTATTCGTGGAAAAGCTTACTCATCATCTTGGTAGACAACGACATCATCCACAACACTAACTTCAATATGAAGCCAGTTGTCAATATCTCTCCGTAAGGGATACTGGATGTTTTATTCTCTCGAGAATATTAAGGGTCGGTTTTATCAACATACTGTCAACTGAGTTGATGATGTCAAAGCAAGTGGAACTGTTGTAGACAAACACATAGGGGAAATGTATCTCCTGAACAGAACTTGAAAATGTTCTGTAAATGAACGTCAATCATAACTTCTCTTCTTTTGCTTGAAAACTTTAGAGTTCTGAAGTAATAAGACGATTTCGAAGGTGCTAATGATTTACAGAGAAGTAAACTGATGTCCACTGCACTCAGCACAAAGAGTGGACAATGTCCGGATGTTCAACTCTAAGTCAGTCAAGTCAGTGCTTCTATGTGATGGTTGAGAAACTTAGCTGGTCGCGAAAAGCATTTCCAACAAACTACAGACATGCATCACATCAACAGCTGCCTACGCTCGATACTGAAGATCAGATTAGATGATCAGAGAGAATAAGCGATAAAGAACTCTGGGAACGAACCAACCAAGAACCCATCACTCAACAAGTATGCATTCGAAGAAAGTGGAAGTGGATTGAGCATACACTGAGAAAACCAATCGGGAACATCACGTGCCAGGCTAGTCCCTTGAGTGGAACGCATATGAGAAACGACGAGTTGGGCGTCCGAGGGTGACATGGACGACGAGATGGTGTGAAGAAGAAATGACATCTTCTAGGTAGTCATGGAGCTAGTTTCAAGAGACTGCAGAGAATACAGTGAAATGGAGACGTGCTACTCAAGCCCTATATTCTACTAGGAACCCAGGTGACAAATAATAATAGTTTCATGATAATATATCATGGAAATGACAATTGTAATGAATATATTTCTACTACTGTATGTACGCTGTATTGTGGCAAACCCCTGAGTTCAATAGTTTATACTTTCTTATCTCTATCAATCCACATTGTAGCATGATTATCCACTTCTGAATGTTTACAATGATAGATAAGGATTAATCATTAAAATTTCAAGATATTTACCTGGAAATAACTGGATACAGGTTCATAGTCATGAACTCAGGTGTACCAACTTCGATCTATGAAGTCAGAGGAGGGGATTTGAGTAAGCTAGAGGAAGACAGGGGACTTACAACACCAGAAACAATATCAACATACTTACCTTGGATATTTTCAATGGATTATATGTTGAATGAATAATATTATCAGTAGAATACATTAACTTTTTACTATTTTCTAATTTATTCATCTCATTACTTTTAACAATAGAGTTATGATAACTATCGAAACCAGATGAAGTATACGATAATGTATCACTTTTATTAATAATCCAATCAAATGTTGAAGTTTTTATAGATTCAATATGTTTTTCAAATGGTTTCTGTTTTTCAAGATGTTCATATTTCTGTTGAATTGAAGAGTATACACCGCTACTAGAATCATATCCAAGAGAATATGAATTATTCATATGTACTGATTGATTATAATTATTCATTCCAATTGGATGATAAAAGATGATTGATTAGTTAACTGATTATTTGAAGAATATAAATATCCAGGATTCTTAATTGAATCTTCATTAACTTCAGTTTGTCTTGGATACTTTTCTCTTACACTCTACAAAACAGAAATCAATGAGAAAAAACAACATTCAAATAAACTTGGGAGTTAAATAGTCGAATGCGAAAATGAAGATTATCTGAGAAAACTTGAGTGTTGATTGAGTTGTACGATTATTTTCAACTTTTGTATTTTTAGGGTCGGATGGTCCGAGAGACCGTAGGACATGGTGGAGTGTGTTCTTTTTCTGGCCGACCTTTTCTAACCCCCCCCCCCCCCACTTCCACTGAGAACGGAGCATCAACATGACACTACTGGTCATCCAAGGGAAACACCTTACTACTGTCACACCCTATCCAGTTAACAGCAGTACGACTTCGCTCTCAGACACCCATCATAGTGTAACAATTTATACCACAATGGTAACTGCTTTTCGTCTAATCACTATCCAACAGACCTTTCTGGTATAGTAGGACCTCGATGGAACAAACGTTCCACCAACATAGCCCGTTAGGTCATTGTGATATGTAAGCCCGATCACCACGTCAAGATAGAAGCTATTATCTGAAACATATCGTGATATATTACCGCCATACAATCTGATCCTTCACATATGGACATGTCGAAGCAATAGGAAGGGTGGAGAAAAGTAAAACAACCGTTACTCTTGGTATGAAAATTTAAATCAACACACCATCAAGGTAGGTTCAACGTGAGTACATACTCTCATGGAGAAAAAATTCGACCTCAGTATGGTGTTAGCTCTTTGATGTGATGTCTTAATGAAGTTTCCTTATGAAGACCACTATGTTGCAGGTAAGGTTGATTTGTTTGCATGGTTTGCTTGATGGGCGATTTTGTCACTCAGCGTTGAAATTCACTATTGAGAGGGAATCGAGATCAGCTGTTCATTTTCATTCACGTACTGATTACGACATGTAGAAATGGAACACTGAAAAGATCCATCTATAGGGAATCTGCATGGAATAGACAAGTCAGTAATCTCTATAGCTCCATACTTAGCATGAAGAAGAGAAACCTTATCCATTCGCTGTGCCATCGAATACCTAAGAATTGTTACACGGAATGTATCCAACTTCAACTTGACTTTCTAAGAGGGACACTCAAAGTAAACGCCTATCGTAGCTGATTAATCGATTAGTATATGCAAGAAACATATACGAAACTAGTCAGTCATCAGTTCAGTCTCAAGAAGGACTTTGATCATGAACCTGAACTTCAAAGGTGATACAACATCAGATATCCTGAAAAATCATCTTTCCAGATTAACAAAACCTCACTTGATCTTTATCAGTCGTAAATTGTTGTCCGTTTGCAGATACGCGTTGCATATGAGTGTTAAAAAGCACGAAACCTTGGTCCAGGGCTTCCAACCGATTGCCTCCAACGAACTAACATCTACTAATGTGCACTGTGATGCTGACCTTCCTAGCTTCCTGGCCACATTGGAAATATTATTGATATAATTCCGTCTCTACTCGGAACAAGAGAACATGAAATCGGTTGCACTCCTGTGACCAATCAATACACCTAAGCTAGTCCTACAGGAGGTAAATTGCGGACCAAATAGCTCAGTGGTTAAGTCTCTGACTACAACACTGAGTGACGCGAGTTCAAATCTCAGTTGGGACATCAGTTCCGTCGAGGTTGCAGATACGCCTTGCTGAGGAATGTCAAAAAGCAAGATACATAGGTCCACAACCGATTGCCTCCAACCAACTAACAAAAGACAGTATCCCTGGACAGGTCACATCTATGTGTATCTCTACCAGTTCACCTGCTCCTGTGGAGCAAGTTACATCGACTGTAGTTAGAGATTACTGTCAACACGTATACGAGAACATATTCCTGTCTGGCTGTATAAAGGTGAATGGAAATGCATTAGAAGTTCTATCCTTGAACATTTAATCGATTCCAAACGTTCAACCGACCGCTGAAAATGATTTTAAGGTTATCTATCGAATTCACTCAAATATCTCATGTTTCCTCCATGTTCAGCTTCTAAAAATAGCAGAGGCCTTGGCTATCCATGAACTGATGCCTACCTGACCTTTGTGTGCAAAAGAAGTATGTAGAGTCTTTGCCTCTACCTTGACTTTAATTTATTTTAGTCTAGGTATGCTTCGTTCACATTTTTCGTTCTTCACCCCCTTCCTGTTTTTTGTTAGATTAATCTTATATATATATTCGTTTCTGGTGTTACTTCATATGATCTTCCTAATAATGGCAACTCTTAACAAAACATTTTCACGTTGTTATTCATCGTAGACTGACATCAGTTGGAGAGGAACAAAGGAAATTTACAAAAAGCACTCGACAGCTGTTTCGTCCGACTAGTATAGGACTCCTCAGCAGTGCGCACCCATGAACCCGCACCATCACAGATTGAACTCTTGACCTTCAGGTTCCGTGGTCAGCACGTTAACATTGAGCCACTGGGTCAGAATCTACTCGTCCATATTTCCAACTTCTGTTAGTTCACGATATAGAGCAACCACCACCGAATGTCATCGTTGAGTAACTGTCCTCACCATCATCACGACTTCTCATTGGAACTACGAGAATACCTCTTGAAGTTTGTCACTAATGAGCACCAGTTCAATAATGAATAACAAACTTGAAATATATCCAAATCTCCAAAACTGCCTCAGAAAAGAAAAACATTTTCAATTTACTCCAATTAACCTGTTGTCTCGTTCATATTACGTAATCACCTTTGATTATTTATTCGACGTTTACGCCATCAACTAGCAATATTCTTATTACTGTAAGCACCATTATTATTACTGTTATTTCAATCCCCTCATTATTTCAGTTAAATCTTCCTCACGGATTACAGTCTTCATATATCATGCATATATATATACGAATGTACAGCTTGAGAATAAATTCGTTGGAAAGAGTCCTGCTCTCTTGGCTGCTATATCTTGTTATTGAAAAGAGAATAGCTGAATACAAAACGAGTGAATACATCTCAGTTATGTGTCATCAACAGTCAGTTCTCAACTCTTGATTCCTTCTAATTCACAGATCCAAGTCATTATTATTATTATTATTATTATTATTATATTATTTGTTCCTTGGGTTCCAAGTGGAACATACGACTTCAGTAGCACGTCTCCATTACACTCTCTTCTTTGCAATCGTTTCAACCTGGTTCCACAACAGCCTGGAAGCTCTCATTTCTTCCGCACACCATCTCCTCCTCCATGTCACCCTCAGCTTGGACACCCAACTCGTCGTTTCCTAACTGGGTTCCACTCGACGGACTGGCCTGGCACATGACGTCCTCGAATGGTGTTCTCAGTGCATGTCCAATCCATCTCCACTCCCTTCTTCTGCATATTTTGTTCAGTGATAGGTTCTTGGTTGGTTCATCACCAGCCAGCAAGAGTTCCTTGTTGCTTATTCTTCTCATTCTGGCCATCTGATCTGAGCTTCAGTAACGAGCCAGCATAGGCAGTTGTTGGTAAATATCTGTAATTTGTTGGAAATGCTTTTCGTAACTCGCCAAGTCTCTGAACCATATAGCAGCATGAATTGACTGAATTGGTGTATAAAATCCGGATCTTGTTCCACATGCTGAGTGCAGTGCAGAAGATCTCCACACTGGTTTCAGGTAAATGAGTACTTGTTTTGTTTTTCCGATCCTGCCTTTGACATCTTCGTCTGTGCCGCCTGTAGTTGAAACGATGCTGTCCTGTCTGGGTAGGTGAAAGAGGCTACTTCCTTTAGGTTTCTCCTGTTGATTGTGAATGGATCTTATTCTTGGTGGTGGCGTTGGTTGGATATCATCATTACCTCTGTCTTCTTTACGTTCAATTGAAGTCCTATCTTCGCTACTCTGCCTCACCTCTTCTGTCAACTTGTTCGTTTTTGCCTGTAAATCTTCAAGTTTGTGTGACATTAGACACAAGTCATCATTGGCGAAATCGAAATCTTCTAGGCTCTTTTTATCGGTCCAGCCAGTGTATCGCCTTCTTCTCGCTCCTCACAGTTTGTTGCATGATCCAGTCGACCACAATCAGGAAGATCATGGGTCATATTAAATCCAAGTTAGGTAGTTAACATTTGCCAATACACTTGATAACCAACAGTTAAGTACTTTATGAATCCTCCTTCAACTTAATCCAACTTCACCCACCACGGTATGTTGAAGTAGGGTAGGTGGAAATTATGTAGGGCAATTTAAACTGTAACTAAAGCATAGACTATTAGATTAATTGGTCGGATTTAGCTAATACACAGCCAATTATCCAGGATTATTGACTTCTTATCAACGATTCCAGTATAAACCACTTATTCCACATAATCATATCTCAATATGTTGCGTCATTCCTGTTATACATCAGTTGGGTGTTGGTTGACTCGATGAACAAAGATTCAGTAATCAATGTCTTGCTTTCTCTCCCTCTTCTTCCACCTAGTTATATTCAACTTGAGTACAGTGGTTTTATCCACCACCCTACGGTGTGTGTGTGTGTGTGTGTCTGTATGTAATACTTAATGTGTTCAATACAAGAGACGAGTATTTTCCTAGATTATTGATCTTATTCGAGTATGTCATTCTATAACGGAGAATATTTGTAGCTCACGTCGATGGTCTTAGTAGTGTTGGGTTCACTGAGGAGATGAGTTGTTTAATGATGAAGCTTTCATCGTCTTTCCACACGACATCATCCACAGCACTAACTTCGTTATGAATTGTAAGCTAGCTGTCAATATCTGTACATGAGTGACTTAGTAGCTTGCTCTGAAGATATGGTCTGTGATTGGTTGTTTCCTTTGATTGTTCTGTCATTGACTGACTGTAAAGATTTTCCTGTTGGTTGTTCCTCTGCTTCACCCCTGTTCACCTTTCTGTCCCTTATCATCTTTCTTATTGGTTGATAGATTGGGTCCATGTCTATATATCTGTGGATTGCTGAGTGACTGCTTGAGGTGAATACCAAGCTTCTAGGAATCCTCTGATGACATTCTTTGTGTTTCCTCTCTCCATCCAACATTTCGACATTGTCAAAGTTGAATTCATGTGCATAGTTGTTATCCACATGGATTGACCAATAAGCCAATTGATGTTCTCATGTAGACGAAGGCGAAGGTGGGGCGACCACTTTGTCGAATGAATGTAGTGTTGACCACAGTTATTCTTTGGTTGTTCGTCTCCTTCGGTCTGCATAATAGTGTTAGGAGGGAATTTGTTGGTTAATGACGTGCCCCACATCAATTCCACGTGGTCTTACTAATCTTGTCATGATTCCTCATACATTCTTTATGTACAGTAGGATGGTGCGTTTATAGATTTCTGACGATGACTTCGTAGATGATGTTGTATGGGATAGGCATTTTCTGATAAAGTTTAGGATGGACATCAAGTAATTTCTTTGTTTCTCCATGAAGTTGTTGTACTGCAGTGCAGTGTGTTCTGTCTCTTTTGAATAGAGTCTGAACGCCACTGATCTTGTGTGTTGTTGTTACTATAGGTGAGGATTTGATCAGTCAGTGTATGTTGACTTCCTGTACACTTGGCTTTCTACTTATTCGGCATTCATCCTGTGACTAGCACATCAAGGAATGGTAGTTGGTTGTGTTCCACTCCTTCTCTATTGTGAATTTGATGTGGTAAACGGAAATGTTGTTGTAGAGAAGAGATAATTCTTTTCTTTTTCGACGATACCTTTCTTCTAAAGCTGTACAACCGTTTTTATATCATATATCGTAAAGATATAACAGTCTATTACAAAACAATACGGTATAATTACATCATTAACCTAGTGCTTAAAAACCGGGATCAAGAATGAAAAGTAGTTGCGTCATAAACTTAGACAATAGAAATATCGAGTAAGGCAAGGAGTTTGACAAGATGAAAATTGTTGGTAGATAAGAAACGCAAACATTGAGTGTCCACTTGATAGATGATAGATAGATGTAAAGAAGGCGAAGAATGAGACAAGGGTCATAATGACGGTGATAATAATAGACTAATTAATCATAATGAAATCGAAGACATTATGAAAGTGTTAAGACCATGATAATATGAGAAATTGAACATACTTCTTTTGCACGCAGAGATCAGGCTTGAATTGATGAATTACCAGTGCCTCTGCTGTGCACAACTATCGAAGGCGTACTCCTTTTGAACTATTCCATCTAACACGATAAATGACATTGAAAGAAGATTCTGGTGGTGCGCTATATGTCCAGAGTTGATCAAATGTTCAAGAATTGAACTATTAATTCATTTACATTCTCTCCTCAACAACCATGAAGGATAGTAGTGCTCTGAGATACGTTTGGAAAGCGTGCGCTTTGTGTGGCCGTTGTTGATGAAACTGTAAGTGTTCTCTGTATCACCTTCCTTTTTTAATGATCATAAAAGCATCGTGTATATACCGAATTTTAATTTTTGGTTTAATCACAGATAGAATGTTGGCTTCTAGTCTGTGTTGCAGTCACTGTTTCCTCAAACAGTCTGAATATCGAGAACTCCATTGAAGTTGCTTTCATCTGTTTGTATATCTTGACATTTTCATTCTATATTTGAGTAAATTCCTATGTTCGGCTAATCTAACTCACCCCAATCGGCTAGTTCGACCTATATACTTGACCTCACAGTGATTACATCGAATTTCGTAGATTAGATTATCTTCCTGAATTGGATCTATCGAATCATCAAACTGACAAAGCTAATTGCAGCCTCGTTGAGATTCCGACATAAAGTTTCTGATATTCCTTCCCTCTATATAGTAACAAAATAGAGGCTATGAACTCCTTTCTTCTCGTATTGTCGTCATTATTTGTATTTGTATTCCTGTTATTATTTTGTTTCTCATGTCTTCCTATGAATTTCTCAATTAACTATTAGGTATTTGCACTGACTAGTAAGTTTTGTAGCTCGATCACTTAGACATTTGACTGAATCCGCCTTCACTGACTGACGTTGCATTACATGACTTGAAGTCTGGATACCTACATGTTAGAATGTGTCGATCTCCTGTAGACGATTGTATCCAAACCACCAACCTCTGTCCTTCGTTTCATCCTCCAATCTAACATAGGTAATTCTCCTTGTAAGTCTTCTACCCAGTAAGTGAATTGGATTGTGCCTACGACTACTGACTGAGTTTAGGTGTGTGTGTGTGTGTGTGTATGTGAGGAGAGTGTCGATATATTCCAGTTTCAACACAGTAACCGCATTTTTTCCCAACTATCCATAAATATATATCTGCTAAGATTTGGGATATTGGTTATCCCATTGCTACTTCTTCCGTTTGTTTGCATATTTTGTCCTGAAACTTGAAGATTGTGGAGATCAGTCACAAATGTATGTCTGGTATAACTTCATTAATCGACATCTTCGTTCTATGAGTAAGTTTTGAGGTAATACTTCGTTGATTTCTGATTGCCTCCGATGATATTTTGATTGGTATTTTAGTATAAAGGCTTATTACACTGAAACTAACCACTTTATTCATCCTCTTCTATTTATATAGGTCAATATACCTTAGTTTTAACTCGTAGGAATTAACTAGCCTAGATTTTGAAAGCTTCTACGGTAGGAATTTAGCCACCTACACCAAATAGGTGGAGATAGTCAGATTGATTAAAGTGTCTTGATTCACCTAATCAACACCCACCCAACACAGTGAGTGATGCAATACTTGTGTACCGAAGATATGAAGAACTTTTCTATCAAAGAATATCATCTAGGTGACAGGACTACATACATGACGCCCAACTTGTTGTTTCCCATTCTCGTTCCACTCGACGGCATCGCATGGCCTGACGCCTGATGTCACCAAATGGTCTTCTCACTTCATGCCCAATCTAATCCATCCCCACTCTCTTCATATGCATAGTTGTTGCACGATACGTTCTTCATTCGTTGGTTCGTTGCCTGCCAGCCAGTCAGCCAGCCACAGTTATTCCTCCCTTACTCCTTCTCACCATCTCATCTCCATCTTCAGTATCGACTGAGTGTAGGTGGCAACTGTTGATGATGGATGTCTGCAGTTTGTTGCAAACGCTTCACATAATGCACCAAATCTCTCAACTATCACATAGAAGCAATCACTGACTTGACTGACATTGGTGTTGAGAATCCGTATGTTTTTCACGCTTTATGCTGAGTGCAGTGGAGTGCAGTGCAGTGGATCTTCACACTGATTTCAGATTATTGAAGGGTTACCTGTGTTGCTGTGTTTGCTGTCCTGACTTTGAAATCCTCATCTGTACCTGTGCACCGTCTATAGTTGAAATGATTATGCGTAAGTAGGTAGGTAGGTGGGTGGATGAAATAGACAACTTCCTTTTACATTCCTCCTTCGTTCATAGTGATTCGTGCTTGTTGTTGTTGGTGCTGCTGCTGTTGGTTGGGTATCTTCATCACTTGTGTCTTCTCTACCTTCACCTGAAGGAAGTTCTGTCTTCCTTCGCTGCCTCTTCTGTCAACTTGTTAGTTTCCGTCTATAGATTTTTAAGTTTGTATGATAAGACATTAGACATAAATCGTCATCGGGGCGAATTGTAAATCTTCTAGTGTCTTTTCATCAGTCAAACAGCTTCTGCCCCTCTTCTTACAGCTTCTCATAGTTGTTTATTGCATGATCCAGTTCAGTCAAGTGCAATCGAGTCAAGTCAACCACAATCAGGAACATCATCGACGATAATAGACAGCAACCTTGTCTTACTCCTATGCATCATTGAGCTTTCCCATTGTCAATCACTTCACGTATAGCATCCTCACATCTGCTGTTCAATAAGGTTGATCAAGCTTTATAGAAGTAAAACCGTAAGGTTGAAGCAGTTGTCAAATTACCTCTCAGTCGATGACTAGATAGAAAGCCTTTACAAAATCGATGAAATTGAGGTAAACAATTGCCATTCTGCTATACTATACTGAATTTAACTGTTTCAATATTGATGGGATACCCAATTTACCTTCATCATTAGGTCTCAAACTGAACTCATAGATCATTACATCACCTTGAAATCAATAGATAAATTTTTTTGAGGGGGTTGTGGAGATTTGGAAATATTTCAAGTTGTTATTCATCGAAGACTGACATCAGTTGAGGAGTCCCATACTAGGACGAAACAGCTGTCCAGTGCTCCCAGGTTTCCTTTGTTCCTTCAACTGATGTCAGTCTTCGATGAATAACAACTTGAGATAAATTTTTATCAACTTATAAAGAAAATTGACTTATAGGATAAAATGTAAGAAAGGGATTTTTAACAACTTCAACTAACTTTATATATTTTCGGTGGTAACTTTGGTGGATCAACTAGAATTGGATGAGCAGAAATAGATCGTGAAAATAAACTATGATTATCTTCTATAGAAGTATTTGTATTATGTATCTTCTGTATTCTCTTCTTTGTCTTCTTCACTGAATGTCTTGATTTCGATCTTGGTTTATGCTCTGGTAATAATTGTTCTTGTCTATTCAATAATGTATTATATACACTTTTAGATAATTTAGTCTGTAAAGGATTTATAGACGATTGATGATTATGATTATTGTTTACAATAGCATCATTATTGTTATGCATCAGATTATTAGAGATTTTTATCGATGAATTATTTCTTCTGATTGATGGTTGAGATGAAAACTGTGAAATGGAAAGTGAAATATGAAGGGAAATAAATTTATTTCAATACAACAGTTTTAATTTCACAAACTTTCATCAACCTCATTCAACAGTTAAGCTATAGGCTATATGTTAAATGAACATAGGAGTAAGTGAAGATTGCTGCCTAGTATTATCCATGATCGTTATGGTTGACTTGACATGACTGGATTATGTAACAAGATTTCGCATTCCCCTCGATGATGATTTATGTCTAATGTCTTTGGTAGCACAAACTTGAAGATCTACAGGCGAGAACTAACAAATTGATAGAAGAGGCAGTGAAGGATGACAGCACTTCATGAAAGCGGGAGGAATGAAAAAGAAGTTGTCTATTTCACTCACCTAACTACCTACCTACTTACGCATAATCATTTCAACTATAGACGGCGCACAGTTACAGATGAGGATTACAAAGTCAGGATGGGAAATACAGCAACACAGGTAACCCTTCAGTAATCTGAAATTAGTGTGAAGATCCACTGCACTCAGCATAAAGCGTGAACAATATACGGATTCTCAACACTAATGTCAGTCAAGTCAGTGATTGCTTCTATGTGATGGTTGAGAGACTTGGTGCATTATGCGAAGCGTTTGCAACAAACTGCAGACATCCATCATCAACAGTTGCCACCTACAATCACTCGATACTGAAGATGGAGAAGGAGTAAGGGAGGAATAACTGTGGCTGGCTGGCTGTGTGGCTGTCTGGCTGGCTTGCTGGCTTGCTGGCTGGCTTGCTGGCTGGCTGGCTGGCTGGCTGGCTGGCTGGCTGGCTGGCTGGCTGGCTGGCTGGCTGGCTGGCTGGCTGGCTGGCTGGCTGGCTGGCTGGCTGGCTGGCTGGCTGGCTGGCTGGCTGGCTGGCTGGCTGGCTGGCTGGCTGGCTGGCTGGCTGGCTGGCTGGCAACGAACCAACGAAGGAAGAACTTATAGTGCAACAACTATGCAGATGAAGAGAATGGGGATGGATTAGATTGGAAATGAACAGAGATGACCATTTGGTGACATCAGGCGTCAGGCCATGCGATGCCGTCGAGTGGAAGCTAAATGGTAGACGAGGAGTTGGATGTCCGAGGATGACAAGGAGGAGAAGATGGTGTGGGGAAGAAATGAAATCCTGTGTGCGTCAAGTCTCTCAACCATAACGTACAAGCACTGACTTGACTGATTTAGTGTTTAAAATCCGCATGTTGTTCACGTTATTTGTTGAGTGCAGTGCAGTGTAGTAGACCTCATCTATGCCTGTGCCGCCACCTGTAGTTGAATCGATGGTTCCTTCAAGGTAGGTAGGTGAAAGAGACAACTACTTTTAGATTCCTCCCCTTCATTGTGATTGCTGCTTGTTGTTGTTGGCAGTTGGGTATCTTCATCACCCCTGTCTTCTCTACGTTCACCTGAAGAAGGTCCTGTCTTATTTGGCTGCCTTGCCTCTTCTGCCAATGGCTTAGTTTTCACCTGTAGATCATCGAGCCTAATTAACTAGTTCACTAGTTCACTAGCCGGTTCTAAGCCTGGATAAGGTAAGAAAGTTGGGCTTAGGTCTACCAACTCTACCCAGAAAACCAATCCAATTGCTTAAGAAACTTCAAAGCACAGACGAAATATAAAAAAAAAACTTGTATTCTAATTTAACTATATCATCTTGTTACTATACTCTCTTCTTCTTCTTCTTCTTCTTGTACTCATGGGTATATAACAATTACGAATAATCAATGATTGACTTAAACATCTATCAGCTTCACATAAGATCCATTATTGAATACCTATTAAAGCATAGAAGAGAATCCTATACAATGAATCTATTTATCATTTTGACTATCTGAGTAAGCAGCTATGACTAAGCACGCTCGTTTTCCTACTGGGTAACAAGGATTGAATTCCCTAAACGACTTTCCTATTGGATTTATAATACACAAACAGGGATACAATATTATATACTGGATAACGTTGGATGACGTTGCATGCAGCTAACCTTATAGTATCAAGAGATCACTTCTGCAATACGTCGTAACCTAGGCAAGTTCAGTAAGATACATTCGAAAAAAAACTTTCCAGCAACTGAGAACAGAAGGAAGCTGCAGCATAACCGTCAATGGTTTCAATTCTCAGCCAAATCTGATAACATCTCAAGCCACTGAGTTGCCTAATCTATTGCATTCTCACCAACGGACGCTAACCCCATACAACTATCCTTCATCGGACCATGCCATTTCATACACTGACCACCCATCCACTCCCAGGGTTAGCAAACAGTCAACGGTATGCAAACGGCTGAAATGACAGGAGTAACACATGTCCACCAGATACCAGCAATCCTTAGAAGACAGTTATGATCGAACTCACAAAGTTGTCGCACATCTGCAGCTTGGAGACGCCACGCTTCATAGGCGCAGAGCAGAACTGCTCACATCAAAGCGTTGTCAATCCAACCTTGTACTGTTAGACTAACGTCACCACGACGCCAAACATGGCCAAGATTAGCATAAGCTACTCTGGATTTCGATATGCCGTTACAAATTTCACCTCCTACACCTCTACTCACAGATACATGAACAAATTTTCAACTACTTCCAATGCCTCATCAATGACGGTCAAGGGTAGACAAAGTCTCCCCCCAACTATGCAGACACTTCAATGACAACTAATCTATTTGCTTTCAGTTAGATTTCCAAAACTTTCAACTGTCTTCTACATCCAACTTATGTACACACACAAAAATAACCCTCAATCTATCCTAATAGAATTAGAAATTATGCATCAATTAGTAGGTTGTTCATCAAACAGAAAATTAGGTGTGGTTCAATACTACTCATATGAAGGGGATGAAAATATCAGTTCTCATCGGACTTGTTTGTCTGTATTGATGACCTTGAGTACTTAGAGACAGGCACATCAATATTCTTATTGTCTTTTAATAAAACATCTACCACAAGGTAATGAAGATTTTGTAAATTCGATTTGAACAATTTGTAGGGAAATCTGAGAGCTGTGAACAGTAAATATTTCATCAGAGTATGGGAATAACTTCAAAATGGGAAGCTCAGTGATGCCTTTAGAAGTAAAGTGAAGACAGGAGTAAGACAAGGTTGCTGTCTACTATCACCCATGATCTTCCTCATTGTGGTTGACTGGATCATGCAACAAACTGTGGGGGGCGAGAAGAGGGAGATGCACTGGACCGGGGAAAACATCCTAGAAGATTTGGATTTCGCCGATCACTTGTGTCTAATGTCACACAAAGATGAAGATCTACACGCAAAAACTAACAAGTTGACAGAAGAGGTAGGTCAGCGAAGACGGGACTGCAAGTTAACGTAGAGAAGATAGAGGTGATGCAGTTACCCAACGAACACCACGACAAACAACACCAACGAGCTCCAATCATCATCAATGGGAGAGACAGAAAGGAAGTAGACTCTTTCATCTACCCAGGCAGGGCAGCATCGTTTCAACTTCAGGCGGCACAGCCACAGATGAGGATCAGAAAGACAGCCAGACAGGCGTTCATTAACCTGAAACCACTGTAGAGATCTGCACTGCACTCAGCATAAAGCGTGAACAAGATCCAGATTTTCTGTACTAATTCAGTCAAGTCAGTCAGTGGTTCTATGCGATGGTTGAGAGACAGTTTACGCGTTACGAAAAGCATTTCCAACAAACTGCAGATATTCATCAACAACTGCCTATGCCCACTCGATACTGAAGCTCAGATGACCAGAAAGAATAAGCAACAAGAAACTCTGGCTGGCAACGAACCAACGAAGCAAGAACCCGTCACCCCACGAATATGCAGAAGGAAATGGAGATGGATTGGGCGTGCACTGAAAAGACCATCTGGGGACATCACAAGCCAAGCCAGCCACTTGAGTGGAACCCAGATGGGAAACGACGAGTTTGGCGTCCCAGCTCAGGGTGACATGGAGGAGGAGATGATGTGAGGAAGAAATGAGAGCTTGTAGACAGACGTGGAGCCAGGTTCAAAAGATTGCAAAGAACAGAATGCACTGGAGACATGCTACTGAAGCCTTGTGTTCTACTAGGAACCCAAAGGAGAAATAATAACAATAATTTAAAGCCTTTTATCTTTATCCTCTACCAACTCACACCTACTTTGAGCTAGATGACACAGTGAAGTGGATGAATATCTTTAGGTGTCTCTAGGTGACCTCCCCATTCGATTAGTTTCATTGTTCTGCTTGTATTTCAGTCGAAAAAGTGTGAAATTATGAATAAATTAATAATCACTGTAATACTTATTCTTCCACTTGCTTGCTGAATAACGAGATAGACACAGGCAAAGAGACAGACGGAGAGAAAGACAGATAGATAGGAATGGAGGGAGGTAGACAGAGAGACACACAGACAGGTAGATAGATACATAGACAACATGGACTTTCAGGCGGATAGACAGACAGCAGGTAGGCAGATAGCTGAATAGACAGACGGATATAGAGACAGGTAGGTAGAAATGCAGAGATGGACAGACAGGCATAGACACACAACATCTCAAGAAGTAGGAGTTGACTGAAGTACGTTGAAATGCAACGGAGCAGTTGTCGGGAGATCAGAATAGTAAAATCATAATGTCCAATACACGTGGTAGAACAGGATACCGACAGAAAATTCAACCGTTAACACTTAGTTGTTGTATAGAAGTTGTACAGCCAGATGGTGAATGGTCAAGGCGACCATCTAACAGAAAGAACAGACGTTTTTTTAATTCTCAGCAGATATGATACAGAATACCTAATGTGGACTATGAAATCATCACATCGATTTATGTGATCCATTGGATTCTGTTGAGGAAGGAGTAGAGACTGCTGTCTAATTTATTCATCCGTATGTCTATCACTCTAACTGTTGTTTGAATTTATAAATCAATAAGCTCATGTCATTTGATCGATATTCAGGTAAATATTGATTCTATAGATCGATCAATCATTTCAAGGACAAGATGGGAAGGCTGTTCATTCATTTATGAG